TATTAGGCGTCGTTTACGAATTCCAGCAGTTTTCGTGGTAAATTAGCAGAAAAGATGATGCAGTATGACTCCCTATAGTTAGGTCACGTGTTTCTTATATATTCATAACATTATTAGTACTAGGTATAGAACTGCTACTTTATGTAGTAGTATTACTAGTTATCTTAGTGATAATATCAATTATTTGGCATTATTCCGGTTGTATTTTGCTGTTATATTGTATTCCATTATCTGTCTGCTATTTGTGTTGGTGAAGTGGTTTATTATATTACTGTATCAGTCTTACTATTGTATCGTTTATTCGTGTTACTACGTATTACTACAAGTACTCTAGCTATTATTATGACCGGTAATGCTTCGCATTTACATAAGTATTTAAACCTAACTGTCAATATCCGTACTATTTGTATGAGTCCTTGTAATCTTTCGTTATCCGTATTAACCGTACTTTAATTGTCATTATTATAACTATCCGTTTATTAGTATTGTTACTGATAATAGATGTCGCAGTAGTAGTACTACTAGCTATGAGTCGCCCTTATACCAGAAATGTCATCAGTAGTATTAAGGCCTCTGCCTCTATCACGACCATTGCTACTACGGCATGTACGGCTGTTCCTACACATACAGGTTTTACTATCGCCGTGATGAGCGCGATGTAGCATGTAAACATTGAAGCGTTTGGTCCAGTTCCATTTTCATCAATCGCAAACATTGTATTCGCCAAGTGGGAGGTTGCATTTGAATAAGCGGGAAAATTTACACCTCATGGTGTAGTGGATCGAAGTTCCAGTGTGGCAGCTATTGCAGCGGCTACGCTGGGGTTGGGTTTCGCTAGCTGACGACAGCCAATAAGACAGAAGTAGTCATTCTAGCATCCTTGTGTTTTTCGGTCATACCAACCTCAAAGTGTTGCAGTCACACTGTTACGTTGAGAGCTTTGTAGATGAGAGACTTCAGCCATTGAACTGCCGGTGTGGTTCGTTACTTCGAACGCAGATATCATTGTCGGCAAAGAAACTGGAGACTGGACTGGTCATTTCTGGCTCAATACCCGCCAGACAGCACTATTACTGCTACCAAGCGGACACTGAATACTTCTCACTGACTCACTCACGCCCACATGGCCGGAGACTTCATGCCTGAATCAGACCACACGGAGTTGGTTTCGTGCCACGAAGGAATCAGAATAAACAGCACGTGTTGTCCACCCACCAACCTACCCACGCAAGTTTGTGTATTACAGGTGAATCATTGTAGCTTGACATTAAGTCCACCGCGAAGTTGAATTTACACATTATCACCCACGTAAGCTCACTCTGATTATATGATGGCTAATAGCATATTCGCAAATACCAAAAACGCCGGATGTGCATTCTATAATGTCCGAATGCATATATACGACTGTTACTGTTGTCTTACAAATCAGGCCAGATGAAGTTTAGGACGCGGGTATGCTCATATTCCCACCCGTTATGCTGGTTACAGAAATGGGACGCATGCCAGCCATAGGTACAATTAGAAGAACATATTACTATAATATACTATGCACTGGTGTAAGCATGTATGATTATTAGAATAAGCGCCCTCAACATTGGCACTTTAAGAGGAAGAAGAAGAAGCGAGCACTGGAACAAGAGTTTTATTGTCCTGAAGTTTCGGATTCCCTCGGGAATCCTTATTCATAGGTGATGATAACACATTCATGGTCATGCGCAGATCATGATTGTGCATGACCATGAATGTGTGCAGATCACCTATGATTAAGGATTCCCGAGGGAATCCGAAACTTCAGGGCAATAAAACTCTTGTTCCAGTGCTTGCTTCTTCTTCTTCTGAACTGCTTCCTGGAACTCGAATATTTTTCTCTATTGGCACGTTTCTTTTAGCAACAGTATCTTAGCGCACATAGTCTAAACTTAGGAACAAAATTACACCACCGATAGGTGACGTGCCGGCCCTTGACGCGTTAACAATTGTTCACAGCTACTATGAAAATTACCTCCGCTCTCAGAGCATGGCAGTTGACAAAAGACTGTAGGAAGTGGTTAAAAATTGAAAGGTCTGTTTGGGGCAGTGGACATGGTCGAAGTCCGTCCTAAGGGTGACGAGGAGGCGTAAGTGGGAATGATACTATCAATCGTTACCACGGCAATGCGAGGTTGATCACATGGTCCAGCTGCTTA